ACAGGCAAACGAAGGTACCAATCGGCCATCCCCCTAAACTTCTCCAACATCGGGATGGTGGGGCAATGTCTCGTTGAGCCTGCCAACGAGCTACCCCAGGGAGTTCAAGCTTACCACAGAGACTTGAGTCCACCGCTTCGCAGGGCAGATGAAAGTAGGCAGAGGAGACCATGCATCCCATGTCGTCATCTCCAACCGCTCTCCTTGTGGCGCCTTAATCAGCAAACACGTGCAGAAAGGGAAAGAAAGGATGTCGAAAGGAGAAGGGTCCACACGCTCAAATTCCATGGCGCGCCCTAAAACTTCGATATCTCGTGATCCGCTGAACCATTCGGTCTGAAATTTGGACCACCTCAGCTCCACAGCGTAGACCACCGGTGATCCAAGTTTCAGCTCAGGGCGCACGCCCAATTGCGCGCAATCCTCGAGCGCGCGCACGCTATTTTCCTTGCTGCATGCTGTTATCCGACGCGCGCGGCTCCTCTCCGTGGTGACCTTGATTGATGCTGCCGGGGCGCAGCGCTCCCGGTAGCGCTGCAGATGCTCACTCGGAACTCGTAAGTTTTAATTTTGATGCTTCGAAGAACAATCATTTCGGTTTGGGCTAATTGCCATATCTTTTCCGCTGTGTGGCTGTTCTGTCAACTTTCTGTGTGATGAATGTTGGACTCGGAGTTTGTCATCGGATCTAAGCTGGTTGATTGCGCTGGTATCAGAGCATGCTCTCGTTGCACTACACTCGAGGGTGTTGGAGGCTGACACTAATCTAGGCCAACAAGTGAGCGATTTAGGGTTGATTGCAAAAGGCGAAGCCGGTGGAAGAAAGGGTGAGTAAGGGGAATTGAGGAGGGATATACTTGAACAAGTTCAACTCAATCCAGTGGCAAAGAGCAGCAATAAAGACTTGAGCGAAGTGCTTCTCAACCCAACCTGGTCAATTTCTGCAACCTTGCTTTTGTTTTGTGAACTTTCCGGTATTTTACAACTTTGGATGTGTCCATGATGATGTTGCTGGTTCAACTTTATTACAATTTTTTGTTGATGGCAAATGGATTCCCGGATTTCTGTTGATATCATCTTGAGTTTTGCAATCCCGTTGAGTTTCCTGAATTCTGTCAGGTCTAGAAGTAGGAAGGTGCCGCATGAAACCAGTTATTACAACCTGCTGGAGGAAAAACTCCTCATGGTTATCATGAAGTGCGGCCTAGAAATCCCGATTGTAAACCCTATGTCGGTCAGGTTGATCCTTCGTGCTGCGGCTGGGGCAAACAACGTGAGATGTGCTAGTTTAGTTACGTGTTGAGGGTCCAAAGTGCTAGGTAGATGCTTGCTTAAGAGACTTGACAGCTGGAAGGCGACCACGTAAAGTAGCAGCACGGCCATGCGCGGCCATCGCTTGTAAAACAACCCGGCTGACCCCGAGGACAGGTATTGACAGCCGTGTGTGTGAACCGTGCGACTCAGCAAGGGGTCTTATCTACGTCTTGAGGGAAATCTTACTTGCGTTTGCGAGCCACACCGTCCTCTTTGTTGCATTAAATAATTTCTAAGGACGTTGCTGTCTGTCCTAGAATTGCTGGTTGGCTCATTGACCTTGCTTTAGAACCCGTAGGGACAACCATAGCCGAGGAAGGGTGAGTACTCGTCAACCCTTAAGTTGCACGCTACGTGTTCTAGGTCTCAAAGTCTTGAGGAAGTGGTAGGCTAAGTGTTGAGGGCTAGGTCTTAAGTGTTGAGAAGGTGAAGCAGCGTGTTGTGTCTTTGATTGCCATGGATGATTACCCAATGTTTGCATTTCTTGTCATGTCCCTTATCCGGAAACCCCTCGTGAAATTGATTTTCCTGTTAGGCTTCCTTAGAGCCAACCGCTGCTCAGCAAGGGAGTTCGGGAACGCATGAAAGTGCCGCTGGGACAACTTCGCATGCATTTGAGGACCTCTCTCTTTGTCTCTCGGTCTCTTTGTCCTTTGTCTCTCTCTGTCTCTCTTTGTCTCTGTGTCTCTCTGTGTCTATCTCTGCCTCTTCTCTCGCCATAACAAAAAAGCAAATAAATGCAGAAATAAAAAAAAGATAACTTCAGTTCATGCCAGGTGTTAGGAGCCGGGGTAATGCTCCCCGCAACGAGCAGAAGGCTGGGATTCATTAGGGAGAGTTAACCCATAACTTCAACCACTTGGAAAAACTGGACATACCAGGATAGGTAGTGTGAGGTATATGAGTGAAGAATATAGCTTAGTTTTGGAAACAATTCAGAAGAAAAAAAAGGGAAGAAGAGATGAAAAACAAGAAAAAAAGAAAGACTTCCAAAAGCAAAGAAAGAAAACAGACAGACAAAAACAGGGAACGGTTGGGTAGGGGGAGGGCGGGGGTATGTGTGACAGTGGGGAGGGCATGCTGTTCTCGATGTTGCGTTAATGGTAGCCATGAGGCAGTCGTGTCACGTGGCTCCTTGGAACAGCATTGCGGATGTCTATCCGTTGTGGGCATAAGAATGGTTCTATTTTTCACAGATGTTCGCACGGTGAACTTTTTTTGGGCAGATGTCTAAACAGAAATACAACATCGGGGCATCTATGGTGGTGTCAAAAGAAAAGTTTTCTAAATGCAAATAAAACGTGTGTTTGCAGTTTTGACCCCGAGTTTCAGATGCTCTTAGAACTCAGGCTGGCAGTTGTTTTCATACGAGTTGTTTAGTCACCAACGGGAACAACATGTCTATCAGTACTGTCCCAGGGACCACTGCTCCACTCTGAATTTTCCACAGCCCCCCTATCCCCCTTGGAATTTGCATTCGGCTGGGCGCAAATAGTTTTTCTTTGCCACAACGCGGACAGACCTTACCAAGACCTGAATTTTTTTTGAGAATTTTTCATCACAAGAAATTGGAACTAAAAGACGCCAAAAGGCCCAAAACTGGGGTACTCGGAAGTTTGCAACTTTGCACAGCCCCCATGCTCCCCTTGGGCCCCGTACCCCCCTTGGAATATGCATTCGGTTTGGCGCGAGTACTTTTTTGTCCTGGAATTTTTCACTGCGGGAAATTGGATTTAAAAATCGCCAAAGATGGGGTACTCGGAATTTCTCACAGCCCCCCTACCCCCCTTGGGTCCAGTAGGCCAACCCTGGGCTGTGGACCATGGGTCTGGGCCAGGTCCTTCAATGTGCCACTGACAAAACTGCATTTACAACTCTGCACCATACTGTTCTGCTGGCCTGATTTCTTTCGGCAATTTAGAACTCCGGCCCTGATAAAAGTGCTTCTCCGAGTTTTTTTTTTTTTTTTTTTTTTTTTTTAAGTCAGTTGAAACTTGAAAGCTTGACTCTGCCATAGTTATTTGAACTTATTTCTTCTTTTTTCTTTTATAATTACAATATCTGAATACAACGGAATGTTCTATCATCTCCTGGTCATGACATACACTGCTAACAGACACCATACAGCCGGTTTAAGAAAGACTCCTCACCGTGTAAATGACACCCCTCACACTATGATCACCCCTATTCCATAGGGTGTATGCTCTCCTAAGCGACTAAGCTCCCTTAAACCCCAACTAGGGTGTATGCCCTCCTGAGTGTGTAAACCCCCTTAAACCCCAACTTGAGTGGATGGTATCCTGGATGATTGCTAAGCCCCCTTAAACCGCAACTATCTTTCACCACCCCCATGGTATACCAAACAGCCCACCCTTCTTTTTTTACCTGTTTGTCCATTGCATTGACAATCTAACGGCCGGGGCCCGGAGGTTTCTCTTCTGTCTGCAGAGGTTTGTGTAGCCCTTTTTTTTTCAGGAGCTCCTGGCGGTTGGGACCCTGGTGGTTTAAACAAACTGCTTGATGATGGACATGCAGGAACTTCTGTATCCGCTGCCAAACAGATTGTAGTGATTCAGATAATGATACAACTTGTAGAGCTCCACCCTGGTTTCGAACCCCGGTTGCTTTGGGATGACCTTGAAATAGGCATTGTAGAAGGAGGGTGAAAAGCTCGCACACCACGACATCCCGAACTCTGCCTCGCTGTGCCCGTAATAGCACGCAGGATCAAGGATAACCGGGTTCCCATCCACATCGGCGCTGATATTACCGCTCCAAAGGTCACCATGAAGCAAAACTGGCTGCACGTGCACACCGCTGAATATCTCTGGCAGTTTCTCGAGAAGTCGTTGCCCCTTGACGTAGATGTCTTGGTCATTGTATTGCTGCTGCGCCAGTGAGAGCTGGAAGCCTAATCGGTGCACGCGAAAGAACTCCACCCAGTCCTTCGTCCACGGGTTATGTTGCGGCGTGCTCCCGATGGTATTATCCATGTGGAAGCCAAAGCCCCTGTCCGTTGACCCCTTCAGATGCATCTCTGCAAGCTGTTCGCCCAGCACTGCCTGGCTCCTGTTAGAAGCTCCAAATTGAATGTACTCCATGATGATGTAGGACCCTCGTCGTGGCAGTGGTCCCACCTTATATGGCCTTGGCACACGGATGGTTCCTGTATTGTGCATGGCCTCCAGGCCAGCTTGTTCGGCTGCGAACATGGAAGGCCCTTCGTTCCGGTTTATTTTGACGAAAAATGGACCGACATCCGTGTCATAGCGACTTGCATCGTTTATGCAACCCCCCCCAATGGGCCAGATGCGCGTTATCTGTGTCGCCCCTCCCTCTGTGGTAATCCAATGACGCACAGGGTCGGACTCTGCGGAAGCCATAGCTGCACCCGGAATCAGCTCGCCAGGTGGCCCGTACTGGTTTACTCGTGCTTCGGATCCCTTCACACACCGACTTTGCCTCCGGGCGAAGAAAGCTGTTGGCAACTCTCGAGGTTTCAAACGCCAAGCATTTTGCGGAGCATGAGGCCTCCCAGCCTCATGCGAGCCCTCATGCTCTCTCCAACAATGCAGCGCGGTTCTCGTCAGCGGAAAGCGGGTTGGCTTGGCAGTTGGTTTGCCCTTCACCGTTCCTCCTGAACGCGATTGCGGAAGGAAAACCGGAGATACTCCAGCACTTGCTATGGTTGTGGAGGTGTTGAAGAAGCTAGTACCCGGTCGTCTGTGTTTCCCCAAATGGAGTGCACCTGTAGAGACCTCCGACTCGCAATGATTTCCAAGAAACAACGTCACATCCCGATGTGGCAAAGTCCCGCTCTTACATGTCACACATGTGCTTCTCATTGAGGTCCTCAAAGCCATCTCTCTCAGAGTCACAACCAAGTGGCCTTCTTATGGCTGTGAAACCCACCAAGAGTCATGGGCAATGGTGTTTGCTGCCAGATAGGGTAAGTGGTAGATGACACCTACGGTGGTGACCTGCCCCTTGTTGCTTCACCTCCTCTCATCAAAGGTTTCCCTGAAAAGCAGAGAAACAAGACATTCAACACATGAGATTATTACTTTTTTTTTGTGGAATTTACCATCGCTATCAGTACCAGCTGATGTTAATCCAAAAAATAATAATAATAATAATAATAATAATAATAATAATAATAATAATAATAATAATAATTTTAGCTTGAAGAAGGGGTACTATTTGGTTTGGTGTGAGAGAGGAAGCGCAGATTGTTGTGTGCAGCCCGCTGCCAGAGGGTGTCCCCTGGTTTCCGGTCGGTCCGGATGGATACTGAGGCTCCATCTATTAGTAGGGAGCTCCTGCCATCAACCGGGTGTCAGTGTCGATTTCAAGAATGACAATCTTTTGGAGTCTTTTCGACCTCTTTGGACCTCTTCTTCTGTGGCGGGGAAAAAAGAATTTTTTTTTTTTTGAAAACTTCAAAAAAGTTGAAAAAAGTGAAAAGGATGCAAATTTCTAATGATGTGTAGATATACAATCAGGGTCACCTTGCAGCTTCCCACCAATTGAGAAAAAGGCTTTTCCGCCCCCTAAACCCACTACATCCCTGATCTGTACAAGGAACAATGGATGCAGTGAACGGTGTCGGTCGTGGGGTTTCTAGTGGACTGGCCCCTGGATAAATGACCTTAGGCAGAGATATTGTGAAGCAAGGTTCAGAGGTCCATTCCCACTTGGGGTAGGGGCTACTTCCGTTGGTGTGGGACAAGACAGGAACTTCTCCCCTTGCATCAATCATAGGGAAGACCTACAATGTTTGGCGGCCAATGCAAAACCAGGCGCAGATGAGGTCTCACCCCTAGAGGACAGTCCCGCAGGATAAAATCAGCCGCTATTCACAGATATTGGCATGGACAAGGTTGCACTTGAGCTTGCACTTGACCTGCTTATGGTCCAGGTTCAACCTTTTTTTTCTTTTTTTTTCCCCCGAAAATGGGGCCCAGTGCCCAAGGCTCATATTAACAGGTGTGATACAACACAAAAACACGCCTCTTCCCATTAGGGCTGGAAGAGCCTTCGCCACTGCTTCCATTGAGACAGCTTCCCTGCATAACGGAGATGGAATTGAGATTGAGAATAAGGACTGAGCATTGATTGCTTCCCCCAGGAGGAAGGATTAACTCAGCCCCGTAGACATTTGAATTCTGCTCTACTATAGCGAAACACCAATGATCAAACCTGACCAACAAAATTCCAGGGGTGAGTTACAGGAGAGCAAAGAAATTGAACCCATCCCTGGTCCTAGTCAAACCCTCATTGAATATGCCGAATAGTAAAGGCCCTATTAGATGAAATGAAGTCAAGCATCACGAGAGAGGAAGAATTCACCAAGCTAGGGAGATCAACACACATGAAGGGAGGGGGGAGAGATAACAAACCAAGAAATCACCCCTGCCTCCCAAACCCCCTCGCCACAGCCTCTCTTCTTCCTCCCGAATCCCACGGGAACAGCTCATCATCCTGCCACCCCTCACCACGTCCCCATATCAGCATCTTCTCATGCCCGGCAGCGTTTTCGTGCAAGAACCCTCGGCTACCCTTCAACCCCAGCAGGCTGGCATCCGATCCCAGCAGAGTCCCCCAAAAAGAGAAGGCGGGAAGAAATCGAATAAAAGAGAAGGCGGGAAGAAATCGAATAGCCCTCACCTTAGTAGCAGACCCATCGAACGATATTGGTTGCATGCTGATCGTATCGATTGAAGTGAGCAAGACAGTCATGGCTGGAAGTTGTATTTCAGATGTTATCGTCAGAATCGCTGTTGTTGTCATTGGAGAGATTGTTGGTGTTGAAGATGTCATCACTCTTGGCGCTGTTGATGTAGATGTAGTTGAAGAGCTTATTGCTGGAAATTGTGTTTCAGATGTCGTCGTGAGAAGCGCTGTTGTTGTCGTTGAGAAGATTGTTGGTGTTGAAGATATCATCATCGCTGTTGATATAGTTGCAGAGCTTATCGTTGTTGTTGAAGTTATTGTGTGAATCATTGGTGTAGAATAAGATGTCATTGTCGTACAGCTGTTGATGCTGTTGGAGTTGTCATTGCTGTTGTGTATACCGTTGGTGTAGAAGATGCTATTGAAAACTGCTGCGGACCACTCGTGGCAGCGCTCGCAGACACCACCCTGGATGTGCATATTGCCCCCTTATCGCACAGATCACTCCCTTCCTCGTAAATCGCATAGCAATCGTCGCGAGCTGCCAATCAAGGAGATCTTCCAGCTGTGGATTAGGCCCCTCCTCAAGTTCCCAAATGACATTCATCTCCAGCCATGCAGTCCTTGAAGTCTCCCCCCCCCAACTCCAGACCAATCACAGGCTGTTGAGGACACAAGGGTTACCATCTCCCGCAGCCGACGCTCACCCTCCTTCAACTTATAGATCCAATTTGCCGCCGTATGTTGTAGATTTCCTGTCAAAGTCATCTCCATCCCCCTGCTATACCGTTCTTCCGGTAGAGCGCCATTCGCAAGGACACCATCCGCACACTGACTACAGGGTTTTCCCGTCGTGCCCGTATCGCCGTCCATTCCGCCCTCGTCAAACCTCCTCCAGGCACATGGTTTGACCTTAACTTTTTCACAGCGATGGCGTCAACACCGCCAGTCCTCCTCGTGACCACCGAGGCGTTGGGTGACAAGACCGCCGGGCCCGCCGGCTGGTTCGCTCCCCGCGCGCTCGCAACCTAACACTCCGCCCTCGTGAACTGCAGTAAAACGGGGTTTAGAGAGTGTTGGCCTCCGTCCAGGTTCAAACTTTACCTCCCACAAGAAAACAAACAGCCCTGATTCGCAGATTCCAAGCGCTAAACGACCGCCTGGACAGGATTCTGACCTGCTACCCTCCAGGTCTTCTGGAATCTGCAAATCAGGGCTGGTTTTCTATATGTGGGAGGTAAAGTTTGAACCTGGTCCATAACCAGGTCAAGTGCAAGCTCAAGTGGAACCTTGTCCATGCCAATATCTGGACGGTAGCAGGTCAGAATCCTGGGAATGGGGTCCTCGATTTTCTGGAATCCGGCCTGATTGTCACTGAGGATGAAGCATCTTCTTATTCTTCTTCTTCTTTTCTTTTCTTTTTTTGTAATTTGGAGTCTTTTTGGACCATTTCTCTTTTTTTTTTCTTTTTCTTTTTTCCCCCAATTAAACTGCCCGAGTTGGTGTTAGGGGTGCTGATAAGAGCAGGCACCACTAGCACTTTCGGGAAGGCTCCGTCTATTGGTGGGGAGCAGCACCTGCTGAAAATCCGGTCCAGCGTCCGTGAACATTGTTGTCGTGAATTTGAACTAACAGACAAGATGAGAGGGATTTGGCAACAAGATGAGAGGGATTTGGCATCTAATGCTATACAGCCGCCACAATTGGTTGCCTGTACAACAGTTAAGTGGTGGTGCCCAGCAGTGTCATACTGTGTACATGGCATCGGAGTTCAGGTGATAGTCTTGGACTTCATAGAGCCCATGGAAGCTGCTGAGAGATGTAGAGGTCTAGAAATCTAGAAGTTTAGAAATGAAACAAGTGGACGCGCCGCAGCCACGGCAGAGGAGAGGGACGAACGGGGGGCGGGGCTGTTGTTGTTATACTGCACGGTTTTTTGGTCATCATTTTTTTTTATTTTTTTTTTTTATAATCATAAGCTCCGATCTATTGGTGGGGAGCAACACCTGCTGGAAAACGGGTCCAGCGTCCCTTGCATATAACTTTGATTGAACATAATATCAATCCAAAATCCAAAATTCTTGTATCCTAGAAGGGTGTTGTACTTGCCATGGAACTCTAGATGCCTCTTCAGCCTTATAAAATGACTGCCAGAAAAAAGTGATTAACCTAGCATCTATCTCCATCAACTCCCACCTTTCTAATAAAATCACCTATCCCCCCTCTTCCCCCCCAAACCATCCCAGATCCACTAGAGCCAGAGCAGAGGGAGGAAAAGGATCAGAAAAAAACTCAGGTGATCTCAAGGAAGCTCCTGGCTGGATATCAAACCAGTTGTAGAAAGTGATCTGGTAATCTCGCTTAAAGGTCACCTGATCCCCTTCTCCTCCTGGCCACACCACCTTCCCCAATTTCTCCCCTAATGCATCCCCTAACCATTCCAAATTGAATTTTTTTATTTTCTGTGTGATATCTTTCTTTTGTTTATATTCAATCATTTTGACTTTCGTTTTTTCCCATTGAAATCTTATTTCAGACTGAATAAATTGTTGAATTGTATCCACCACTTCTTGTCTTCCAACTATAACTCCTTCAATAGTGCCTATACATCTTTTATGCCACAACGCCCATAGCACCGCTTTCCTGCTTAAATGGAATAAATTCTGTTGAAACTCCGATAGCTCAATCATAGCAGGATTCTTATTTTTTTGGTCATCATATTCGCTATACACTCAAAAAAAACATGACCGTGGCAGACTGTATCTGAGTGATCAGGAGGTTTCGTGTGTGTGTGTGTGTGTGTGTGTGTGTGTGTGTGTGTGTGTGTGAGAGAGAGAGAGAGTCTCTCTCTCTCTCTCTCTCTCTCTCTCTCTCTCTCTCTCTCTCTCTCTCTCTCTCTCTCTC